AAAAATTTAAAAAAGGGCATGTTTGATCATTTTTACAAAGTACAGGGGCATGTTGGATGTAAAAAAAATAGTAGAGGGATATGTTTGATAAAACATCATAGTAGAGGGGCATATTATATCTGTAACCCTAGTAGATTCATATAATCTATAACCAAAAAGTTATAACAGAGCATACAAACTATCTCACAAAAGAAATTGTAATTTTTTTATTGAATCCAAGTCAGTGATCAGGGTGGCAATCCGTAGTTAACCAGATAAAGTTGACAAAGAGGTTGAGAAATTAAGAAAAGGAAGCATTAAACAAAATTAGTGATTAAGGTTGGATGATCTTAGCTTACGTTAAATTATTTTTCTTAAATTTTTATGAATAAAAATAGTGAACCAGTAAGCTAGTTAAACCGGGTTGGTTCAAATGAATTCATGTTCAACCGTTAAAAATCGTTCGGTCTGTCCTTATCCGGTCAATCAAAGAAACCCAACCGTTATTATAACTAATTTTGTGATTGTACTATTCCAATTATTAATCTGGCTGGTTTCTCATAACAATGCAATTAAAAGAAGGAAGATCCAAAAACTTGAAAATTAAGAAAGTATATTGAATTACCCATTTCTTGGAATCGCTTTTGTTGTTGACCATTGAGGGAATACTTATCGAGTTACTGACAAAAGATCAGGACTTTACTCTTATTTATATCCTGTAGGGCTTTATAATTATTTGCTGACAATTATTCAAGTGACCACATAATTTTATGTGTTTTTTTTTTATTTTCTTACATTGTCAATTATCCAGTTCGTTCTAATGCATCTTAACCACAATCCTTTTCTGAAATAACGATTGTTAGTTCGAAATAGGTGATCAGAAAATAGAATCCTACAAAATGCACGATCCCAAGAAGATTGAATCATCTAAATATTATTTTGATCGACATACTACTCTGTCTATCATTTACTCAATCTCAAGATACAGTGCCACATTATTCCCAGTTTCACAACCAGCCAACTAATAACATACAAAAACCAATAATTAACTAAAGAAGATCTAAAAACCTAAAACGTGTATTCAATTATGTCGATTAGAAAGATGGATTAAGATAGCGCATCCCCATTAATTCAGGTTTTGGCAGGACTCCTCTTAATTGAGATGGCTTTGTCACTCTCACTGCATTTCTCTGTCGACCAGCTTCTGGAAATTGACCAATATTGTCGAGTGTGATCTGTTGAATGGTAGTAACAAAGAGAGATCATGGTCGGCTGATCTGGTACGACAATTGGGCGAACTAGGCCCGATCGAAGAGGGTGAAGGACGGATCGTGATAATCGACAATGCGAAAAAAGACAACGAGAGAAAGAAATAAGTAAAGAACATACAGATTTGCATGGTTCATTAACACAATAGTGTGTTGTATTAGTTAGTCCACATGCAGGAGACCCCCGTGACTTCTAGTCGATGGCAGATTATAATACGATATATTCAAATTATATTAACAAAGAGGATAAGGAGAGGGAAAGTGGGTTGGTTCTCTCGCAGTAGAAACCTAAAGAAAACATACGACTCATGCATGCATTGTAACCTCGACAAATCGACCTACCGACGTTCAAGTCGGTAAGGGAATCAGACAGAAATGTAAAAGGAAGATCGAGTTAATTAAGAATCTTTTGCTTACAGAGCCTTCTCAACAACACACACCGTTGCAACTGTCGTGAAAGATCTGATGCCTTACTCACACTGAGCCTCGACCACCCGTGATAATTGACATTCCATGCATGATAAATACTTTTGTAGGTACGTACGTACTACTCAGTTTCCATTCTCTATTTATTTCCCCCAAAATAAACGAAAAGTAATTACCTGCAAAAGTATTTTTCATGAACGAAATATCAATCAATGTGTACGGACTGCCAACACCATTCTAAATGTCGTGAAAGACGGATTTGATGCCTGCTCACACCGAGCCTTGATATATCACACCCCTGATAATTGACATTCCATGCATGATAAATACTTTTACAAGTACGCACGACTCGTTATCATTTCCTGTCTATTTCACTAAACAAACAAACGAGAAAAATGTATCCAGTAACTACCTGCAAAAGTATTTTTCATGAAGGAAATATCAACCAATGTTGTACTGACTGCCAACACCACCAGGGGTGGCTAGCTATATATATAGCCACTTTTTTCTATGTATATTAGGGCCGGGAAAATAGACCAGACCGTTAGAAAAACCATGGTCCAAACCGTACTGCATAGTTTGGTCCGGAACGTAGACCGTTAAGTATGGTCTGGTCTGGTCCATGGTATGTATTATTTTATATTTTGATCTCTTGGTCTGGTCTGGTCTAGATCGCGGTTTACCGGACCAAACCGTGGACTCAACTGACTTGTAAATACGTGTTAACAGCCCATTCGACCACTCTCCCAACTCCCACAACGACACCCAAGTCTCAACCTTAGTTTTGTGAATCTCGTCCCTCCTTAATTCACAACCACATTTAACTAGAGAGTAGAGATAATCGTGTCTCCATATGACATTATGTTAATGTTTATGACGTTATGGTGCAAGTTGGGATGCTTTTACTTTGTATCTTTGGTATGTACCAAGATTTAGAGTATCAAAATTATTCATGCATGTTAGGATTAATGATTTAAGGCAAATAACAATTATTTTTCCTGGTTATTGGTTCAATTTTTTGCGTGGTTGACTAAACAAATTATTCATTTTCGTTGAGTGTGGTCTATCTGGACCAGACCAGACCGAACCAGACCGCACAGGCGTGGTCTGGACCGAACCGTATAATCTATGGTCTGGTTTGTGGTCTATACTTTAGCCTCTCGGTCTGGACCATAGACCGTATAAATGGTCTGGTCTAGACCAGACCAGACCGCACCGTTTCCCAGCCCTAATGTATATAGCCACTTAATTCCATACGTACATATGAAACAACTCAGACAAATACCAAACAGGAATTCATGAATTTCGATCTGTTCGATCGTGCAAAAACTCCCAACTCGATTTCTGATAAAGGTACATAAGCTCCAAAAGTCGGTGTTTTCTAGTAATTGACATCAATTCGATCGAAATCGCCGGTTCAGGTGGATTCCGGCTGTGGCGTAGCAACAAGAGCTCCGGTTCTACGAGATGCTAGTTTAATTGCTTTTGGAAACAATGCAACTTCTGAACAATGTAGCTAGGGAGTTGTTTCCGGAAGTTCGTGTACTAACGAGTTGAGTTTTGGCGGTTGTCAATGGATGGATGGATGATTGTTTCGTTTTCTTTTGCGGTGTCAGATTAGAATTGATTTTGATAACATACTTTTTCGAGACAATAGCGTTTTTTTATTTATGTTTGTATTTGGGTAAATACCACCAGAGGTCTACAACGCACAATTTTTTGAAAAAAAGTGTCGTTTCTAGAATAAATTTTGAGTGGTGACCATTTTAATTTGAACTGTGAGCGTGTTTTACCAGTTATCATTTATGTCGCCGTATTTTCTGTTGATTTTGAGAGATAGCAATCGACCAAACAAAGGTCAATTTTTTTTTAATCATCGATGATGTGGTGAAAATGTGGCCTCCGTGTACATATCGCGAAAATTCAACACATTTAACTTTGATGGTGATATATATTTTCACTTCTTTTTTGTGCCTTAACGAGAGATGAAGGTTGTGTGTTACACGTCTTGAAACCAGTTTTCATTTGAAAATCAATTAATTCAATCCATTTAAATCGAATTCTATCTCATCCAAATTCAATTGAAATAGTAGATTGATGGATTGTTGAAATCTACAACTTAGTGCGTACATATTTTACTATTTGATACCTAAAATTCAATTTATTAATAAAAAATATTCTTCAAAATTGTGGTTTGGTATATCTAAATTTTTTTATATTATATTCTAGTATATAACCTTTTCAAAAAAATTATAATGAGTCAAAATTTAAATATCACTCGAAGTCATGAATCCAATCGAGTTAACATCTCTAATTGTAGTCCAATATCCATATTACCTCTTCACAAGCATTTAGCCCACCGAAAGATACATTGACAACTAATAACAAACAAAAGAAGGAAGATCTAAGAACTTAAAGACTAAAGAGTATATTGAATTGCCGATTTCTTGGCATCTGTGTTTGGTTGTTGACAATTGAGGGAATACTTATTGAATAAGATCGATACTTCACAGTTATTTATATCCTGTAGGGCTTTATAATTATTTGTTGATAATTTGATCGCCTAATCTTTTAGTTGGTTCAATGGTTCGTACTTTTTTATTTTAATTCCAAAATTAACATGTTATCTTGTTGTACATTATAGTATCTAGTATAATATTTTTGGAACAAAAAAGACATACTCACGATCACGTGATACATACTAGAATATCATTAAAGCTAAAAAGTTTAGTATAAGTATTTGAAATATACTGAATACCGTATTGAATTTGTTGATATTCAGTATTACCGAATACACGTATTTATGGGATTGTGATTGAATTTCAGGCGCTATTTGTTATTTGAAATTACATGACTCCAAAACTAGGCTCCTCACTCACTAATACCAAACTCTCAACTTCCAATGTAATCGCATAATTATACAAAGCTCATTCTCTCACTATTTGACAAACATATCAAGCTCAGTTTGTTACTTGAAATATGTCTATGGGTGTTTAGTGGTCTCATGCTTTGCTTTAGTTTATTTCTCTCACTATTTGACAAACTCTAAGTTTCTTACTTGAAATATGTCTATAGGTGTTTAGTGGTCTCATGCTTTGCTTTAGTTTATTAGCGTGCTTTGTAGGCACCACATTATTATACTTGAATTTTTCTTTCATTTGTTCAAAAAAAATTCATTTGTTTTGAACTTGTTTTTTTTTTTCATTTGTTCAAAATTTTTTCATTTGTTTTGAACAGTGTTTGCACCATTATTTGTTTTTATATATTTTGAGAATGGTTTGTGGAGTTGCTTATAGAAGAGAAGTATTTGCATTTGACATTTGATTTTTTACTTTGAAGGGAATGAAATGATCCCAAAAGACGGAAGAACTATCTGGCAAGCGAAACAACAGCACAATTATATGATCCCTAAAGAAAATGATGGTAGCAAGAGGGAAGAATCAGGGAAAACAGTGCCCATCAAGAGGGAAGAACATTAAACTTCTGGAATGGTGGTAATAGCTACATGACTGCAATTATTAAGCGGCGCAGCACTAAACAAGAAACTCAAAAGCCAGCAGTCTGCATTGACATGCCGAAAGTAAAATAATTGTCCTCAAGAATTGAGAAAAAACACACACTCAATCTTCATTCCTTCTTTCCGATCCCATGAGACATGTTGTAGATTCCGCGTCCCTGACAAAAGACAGCAGCAAAAAGAAGTTGTTACTGCGTTTTGTAGGCATATGACTAACGACGTTCGGGTTCGCTGTAGAAAGTGAAGGGGACTTACGATAAGAAACAGAGAGCTGGCGGCCAGAGCGATGGGGATAGCAACAGAGGTGACCTTGTCGAACGGTCCTTTCAAGTAAGTATGCTTGTGGATGTTCTGGAAATACCTCTGCTTCTCAAGAAGCTTCTCCCTTGGTCTGAAAGGTGTTTCTGCCTCAACCATTCTGCAATTCAAGTTTACAATGCAAGGAAACTCAACAAACACTTGCAAGTTACATCGCATTCTATGATACACACATAGCCAACAAAACGCTGAACTCGACATAAGTGGATCAGCAGTGCAGAGCGTGGTTCAAGCTTCCATGATACAGTAAACAGGGATGCCAGCAATAACAAGGCCACAATTTAATAGTTAGCTAACTGCCGCCTAATTTCCCAACATGCTCAAGAGCCGGTTCCGGAGGGAGCTTGCTTACTATACAAACCAATATTACGGCAGTGGCGAAAGAGGAAACTGAAACAACTTTGCAGCCATAACTCACACAAGCAGACTGTCAGCACTAATCTCGGTAATTTTTCTGACATCTACACCGCACTGAGAATCGAAACATAAAATACTCCCTGATCGAATATTGCTCAATGGCATCATCTACAACAAATCCCTTCCCAATTCCCATCAAGGGATGTGGAATCATCATCCATTTCAAGCACCAGTACTATGGCCGAAAACGGATTGGAAAGGCTCCAAAAGGTCAGATTTGGGAAATCAACACGAGATACAATTGATGCGGGCCTCTCTCGGCACCCCAAAGAAAAAGACTCTTGCCGCAAAGCAACCATTCTCCTTTCCGATTTTAGTAATTCAGCCACCTAAAACTTGGGATAAATTACGTTCAAACAAAAACCTAATCAAGATGCGAACAACCCAATATACAACTTCGATTCAATCAACAAAGCGATAGATGAATCACAGACCCTAATCCTCCTTTCCCGGAAACCGCAACCAGAAAACATCATCGACCGTAACCCTAAGTCTAAAGAAGAACTAGATCAAAAGAAACGTTCGATTGAGCAATCGGGAACGCCGAGAACAGAAATCGATCGACTTACTTGGCTGTAGGGTTTGCGAAGGGAATCGGAGGTCGCGGTGGATCGGCGAGAAAGCTGATTGAGAAGCGCGACGGATTTCACAGGCGAACAATCGAAATGCCGAGAAGAGACGGAGATGCGATAGAACCACTAGTCCACTACACAATAAAGTGGGAAGAAGAATTGGGCTGGACCCATAAAACTCGGGCAGATGGCCCATGTTTTTGGCCCACTATTCTGTCACGCCATGGGCTTACTCGTGCCTCTTGTTGTCCAATTAAAATTACTGTGCCTTCAGTTTCCTCGACCTTCCATCTTCGGCGTTGGTTGGCTGGCTCTCTTGGGGGGAAAAATCCCAGAATACTCGAGTTATTAAAAAAAATTTTCTAAATACAGTACTTATAAAAGTAATTCCCGAATATTGTTGATGAATATACTGGTATTCAATACATTTGAAGCAAAGAGACATAGTCTTGCGAATAATTGTTATTTTTCTCTCGTTTAGCGAGAGTTTCGGATAGAAGGTTTTAGGGTTTTTCTGAGAGCTAGGGTTTTAGGACCCTCAGTTGACGGCGGTGAGTGGCAATAGAGAATTCTGAAGCAATTGGAACAGCGAGGGAGAAAGGTTTTGGAGTGGTAACCTGATCAGCCTCCTGCGTTCAGGTTTTGACGAGTGCTGAGTGAGAGTTTCCCTAGATCTAATCAAAAATAGGGGTCTCGACAAAAGTTATTTACCTAAGCTTGCCTCCTGCGACTTAGGGTGAGGGAGTGAGATCGAGAAGAGAAGTGGTGAGCGTTGTTCTATTTTAGCGTTACAATGACAGACCCGGATACAGATGAGACTGGACATATGAGAGTTACAGTGAACAGCATTGAGACAAAGCAATATGAACAGATAGAGGATGCAGAGATGGTGGTTCTACAATCGACAGTGATGGAAAAAACGGAAGACAGAGGCACAGGAACACAGGCAGCTATAATAAGGACCGTGGAAAAGGAAGTCTCGTTCTCGGAAGCCTTGGAGAACAAGGTACAGAATATATGTTTGGGGGAAGAGGATGATGATGCTCTGGAAGTGGAGGAACAGGACTATGATACTGTTATGGTACAGGCAATCAACCTACTTGGTTTAACAGGAAGATTGTTATCTGATAAGAAACAAAATCTCAAATCAATGAAGATAGCTTTAGCAAAGGCATGGAACTTGAGACAAACGTTTCAGATTACAGATAAAGGGGAGCAACTCTATGGCTTTCAATTCCTTGACAAACAAGACAGAGAGAAGGTTCTTCGAGGGGGGCCATGGCACTATGACAACAACCTGCTAATTTTCAAAAAAGCAGATGCTTTCCATAAGCCAAAGGCAGAAGAGTTCCACACAATGGAAATTTGGATCCGCATATTTGGGTTACCAGATGCGTTGAAAACCACTGAAATGGCACACAAAATAGCTGACAAATTTGGATCACTGATCTGGGTGGATACAAGGGTGGACATGCGTCGAGAAGATTCCCTGCGAATACGAGTAGGAAAGGATATAAGAACGCCCCTGCGACAGGAATTAAAGCTGAAAGTACAGGGGGAACTGATGAAATTCCCAGTGAAATACGAGAAGTTACCTATGTTCTGCTTCCTGTGTGGAGTTGTGGGACACCCAAAAGCTTACTGTCCCCATAAAGCTGAACTGAAAGAGGACAAGTTTGGACCTGATTTACGAATGGGATTACCTCAGGGAAGAACCTGGCAATCGAAACAAGAAAAAGAGGAGAATGATGAGCTATGGATGGCAATAAGAGCGAAGTTTGACAGAGAAACAGAAGTAGAAAAGAGGAGATTAGAAGCCATGAAATACCACTCGCCAAACCCACAGGGAGACAGCAGTAATAAAATGGAACACTTGGAAGCCCAGAAGAATCAAATTTATGAAAAACAGAAGCAGATTTATAGTGTTTCAGAGCATGAAAAGTACCCACCAGAGTCGTACCATGGATCAGCAGAAGAGGCGTGGAACCAAAAGGAAGAATCAGCAAGTAGAAAGCTCATTTGGGAACAGCTGAAAGCTTCGGAGAGACAAGGGACACCTGCAAATGAATCAAGCAATTCACTAAATAGGAGCAATAAGGGGGGAAATGTTGACATGATGACACAGGATAATACACAGGAAGGGAAGGGATTGAGCAACACTCTGCAATTTAGTATGGGGACTATATCCAACACAGAAGGCCAAAAGAAGACAAAAGTTTGGAAGAGACAAGTGATTCAGCATCGACCTCAACCGAAAGAAACAGGCCTACAACTTACTCCCCAAAAGAGAAACCTATCATGTACTGGCGGGGAAAGGGGAAGGCTGGAGACAGAGGCGAAATTCAGCGCAGGAGAAGAAGGAAATAAAAAGGCAAAGACGCAGGGAAACAACCAGAAGCAAGATTCTGAGGGGATGCAAAGTCCTAAAGAAACTGAGGAGGGAAGAAAAACAAAATTGGATGGCGGAAAGGCGGACCTTGTGGATACACAAGGCCGCCGAGCCCAATGAGTATTATAAGCTACAACTGTCGTGGTTTGGGAAACACCACGACAGTGAAGAGAGTAGCAGCGCTACTCAAGGAAAAGGATCCCGACATAGTGTTCCTAATGGAGACGAAGAAACAAGAGGGTGAGTGGGAGGCTGTAATGGAGGAACTGGGATGGGAGTATGGAAAAGGGGTTGGATCTAGGGGGAGAGCAGGGGGTTTGCTTCTGATGTGGAAGGAGAACGTGAAATTACAAGTGAAGGACTGTGATCATAACTATATCGATGTTGCTATAGATGAACAGGACCCCTCAAAAGCCTGGAGACTTACAGGCCTATATGGCTGGCCTGAGCAGGGCAATAAACGACTGACATGGGAGCTAATGAAAAGACTCAAGAGAAGTAGTGACCTACCATGGCTAATGATAGGGGATTTCAACCAAGTTCTGGGATATGAAGAAAAGAATGGAGTAAGGAGTCCAGACGAGCGTAATATGGAGGAGTTTCAGGAGGCGTTAGATGAGTGTGGATTGGAGGATTTGGGATATATTGGAAACATTTTCACTTGGGATAATGGAAGGGAAGATGATGATTTTGTGGAGGAAAGGTTGGATAGAATGGTAGCTAATTCTGATTGGAAGACCAAATTCAAGGAGGCCCAAGTTTACCATCTTACCAGGTGGGTTTCGGATCATACCCCGATCAGACTACAATTGTACCTTGAGGAAGAAAAAGTTAGGTGGGGGTGGCAGTTTCGGTTCGAAGCGTATTGGCAGAAACATGAGGAATGCTCACCTCTTATTGAAAAAGAGTGGAATAAGGATGAAGCAAGGGGAATAGAAGAAAGAATAAAAGCGTGTGAAACCCAACTTATGGAATGGAACAAAGTCACTTTCGGAGACATAAAAAGAAGGAAGAAAAAGACAGAGCAGCTGCTAGAGAAGATAGCAAAACAAAAAAAGAACAAAGCGGTGATTATCCAACGAAAAATTCTCGAAAGGGAATTACATGACCTACTGCAACAAGAAGAAATTCAATGGAAACAGCGATCTAGAAACGATTGGCTGAAAGAAGGTGACCAGAATACAGGGTTTTTTCACCGGAAAGCAACAACAAGACAAAAGAGAAACACTATCTATGAGCTCAAAGATGAAGAAGGGGTGATCTATAAAGGACAGGGAGCGGTTTCACAGTGTGTGGTGAGCTATCTGACTAATCTTTTCTTAGCAGGACCAGAAGTGGATTCTAATCATGTTCTAGAGGCTATTCCAACTAAAGTTACAGAAGAAATGAACAGAGAGCTCCTCAAACCTGTTACAGAGGAGGAAGTGTGGTTGGCATTGAAATGTATGGCCCCTCTGAAGGCACCAGGAGTGGATGGGCTCCCAGCACTCTTCTTCCAGAAAAATTGGCGTACAGTGGGCCCCCTGGTTGTGGCTGAAATACAAAAAATGTTCCAGGAGAAGGTTATACCACAGGAAATGAATAACTCTGATAGCACTCATTCCAAAGGTGAAGCAACCAACCAATCCAAAAGAGTTCAGACCAATAAGTCTGTGTCGAGTTATCTACAAGATCTTTTCAAAACTTCTGGCAAACAGATTAAAGAGAATACTCAATGTGGTGATCCATGAGAATCAGAGCGCGTTTGTGCCAGGAAGATATATAACAGACAACATCATGTTGGCTTTTGAATGCTTCCATGCAATGAAGAATAGAAAGGAAGGTAAGAAGGGGTTTGTGGCAGCCAAGCTTGACATAGCCAAAGCTTATGATAGGGTGGAGTGGAGATTCTTGAAAGAAGTAATGGAGAAGATGGGCTTTGCTCAGGACTGGATTGCACTTATGATGCAATGTGTAACAACTGTAACATACTCAGCCCTAGTGAATGGTCATCAAACTGAGGTCATTTACCCTACAAGAGGAATTAGGCAGGGGGATCCAATCTCCCCATATTTATTTCTATTGTGTGCAGAAGGATTATCCTGTCTAACTGAGAAGACAGTGCAAGAAGGAAAAATTCATGGTATAAAGGTCAGTAAAGATGCCCCAACCATAACCCATTTACTGTTTGCTGATGACAGTATATTCTTCTTTGAAAACAAGAGGCAAGAAGGGGAGGCTTTGAAGTGGATTCTGGAAACCTATGAGAAGGAATCTGGTCAACAGGTGAGCCTAGTGAAATCAGAGCTGACTTTCAGTACTAATGTGGATGAAGGCCAGAGAGAAGAAATGGCACAGCTATTGGGAATGAAGCATGTACTACAACATGACAAGTATTTAGGTTTGCCCACAATTATTGGAAGATCGAAGAAGGCAGTATTTACCCAGCTCATTGACAAGGTAAGGAAAACAGTAAAGTTGTGGAAAAGAAAGACTCTTTCAAATGCGGCCAAGGAAGTTTTAATAAAGGCCATTGCTCAGGCTCAAGCAATGTATGCAATGTCGGTATTCCTAATCCCACAGGGGATAATTCAGGAAATGCATAGCATTATTTCTGGCTTTTGGTGGGGGAGTAAGAATGGTGAACGAAGAATCCATTGGATGAGATGGGAAAAACTGTGCAAGCCAAAAAAGGAGGGAGGAATGGGATTCAGGGATTTACATGGGTTCAACCTAGCCTTACTAGACAAGCAGGTTTGGAATTTGCTGCAAAATCCAAATTCACTAATTGCCAGAGTTCTAAAAGCAAAGTACCACCCCTATACTGATATTTTAGAAGCTGAATTGGGACACAATCCTAGTTATATTTGGAGAAGTATCATGGCGGCTCAGGGATTAGTGAAAGAAGATACAAGATGGAGGGTTGGTTATGGTCAGAGCATACGTATATGGTGGGATAGATGGATCCCAGATGCAGAAAACTACAAAATCCAAACCACAGTGACAGGTCTAGGTATGAATGCAAGGGTATCAGATTTGATTGACAGCTCTAGTCGAACATGGCGAAGTAACCTACTACAACAACACTTCCAGCCTATTGACAGGGAAAGAATCAAAACTATACCTATTCCAGTAAGATTCAGACCAGATAGCAGGTGCTGGGGAAAGAGTAAAACAGGATTCTATACTGTGAAAACTGGGTATCATGCTTGGAGATTAAAGAGAATGAATGGCAACCCAGAACAATATGAACCCATTGATTGGACAAGACTATGGCATTTGCATCTGCCACCAAAGGTGAGGGTGTTTGTGTGGAGATGGGGATCGAATATACTGCCTACAGGAGGAAATCTAGCTCGGCGAATTCCAGAAGTAAGTGATGAATGTCCCTTCTGTGGACTTGTGGAAACTCAAGAACATATATCACGAGACTGTGACTGGGTGGGCAGAATATGGAGACCTAGCTATCTTAACAACCTATTCAGAATTGGGGAAGATCGGAGCTGTGGGAATTGGATCTGTGAGGTACTTGATCAAGCGAAGGATGAGGAAATCTGTGAGTTCCTAATAACATTGTGGTTCATTTGGAAAGAAAGAAACAATCACCAGTTCAACAATCAGAAATTAGAGGAATGGGAGGTGGTAGAGAGAGCGCAGCTATACCTGGAAGAATATCGACGAGCTCAGGAGGGAGATGTGGCACCGACGCAGCCGAACCGAAGATACATATGGGAAAGGCCATTGGAAGGATACAAAGCAAATGTGGATGCCAGTATCTTGAAGAAGGGGGGAACTGGGAGTGGATTGGTGGTTCGCGATAAGGAAGGGAAGTTTGTTTTAGCTGCTGTTCGAAGAACGAGGGTCAATTGGCAACCCGAAATGGCTGAAGCAGAGGCGTTTTTGTGGGGATTGAAGATCATGCAACAGCATCAGCTATACCCAGCGATAATGGAAACGGATTGTCAAAGCTTGATACAGAAATTACAGGGAAAGAAGCAGATTAATCTGGAAATAGAGACTGTGTGTGAAGAGATAAGGGACAGAAGTCAAGGAAAGGAGGTGGAATGGCGATTTTGGGGAAGAGGTGGAAATGAAGCGACCCATCAAATGGCTCGGATAGTGGGCAGATGGGAAGAAACCGAAATCTGGTCGGACCGGCCACCCATCTTTCTGTTACCCCAATTGTTGAGGGACTGTAATGCTTCTTTGATTGATGATTAAATAAAGCATACAGGCATTTTCTATCAAAAAAAAAAAAAAGTAATTCCCAAAATACAGCAGTTTCAACATCACTGTCTTAGACAAAGACAGTGATGTTGATCACCGCTTTTGTCCAAAACAGTGAAGCAGCGGGGAACGCATCACCGCCTTGGACGAAAGCGGGGAATGCATCATCGATGTGGACAAAAGCGGTGATACGTTCCCCGCTTTTGTCCAAGGCGGAGATAGTATCCCCGCTTTTGACAAAGGCGGGGAAAGTATCCCCGCTTTTGACATCAACAGTGAAGGCATCACCGCTGCTGTCCACAACAGTGATTGCCCCCACGTTTTACATAGCCCTGGTAGGTGGAGAGGTAGGTAACAGCTACCTAGCTATCACCGCTGTTGACTAAGGCGATGATGTGTTCACCGCCTTGGTCCAAAGCGGTGATTAGCTCTCAATTTTTCCTATAAAAACCCACGCCCTCTTCCCTCCTGCTGCCAAACAGCAAATTAGTACAAAAATTATCGTTTTGTTACGTCGTTTTCGCAGCTGGTTCCTCCGTAGTTTACTGCTCAAGAAACTCGTCGGGATTCGGTATGTTAGAATTATGTATTGTTTACATTTTGATTATGTGCTAGAATTAGGTATGTTAGAATTATATATTTAGATTAATTATGATATGATATATGTTAGTTAGTTAGTACTGAATTTAGATTAATGTGTTTAGTTTTCTCATGATAGATCGGGATTGAGTATGTTATAAGTATGTATTTTTTACATGTTGATGTGTTAGTAATTATACTGTCTGTATTTAGTGAATTGCGGTTATTGGAAAATATGTTATGATATTATTTAGTTTAATTATGATATGATAGATGTTAGTTAGCTAGTTATGAATTTAGATGAATTTGTTTAGTTTTCTCATAATAGATCAATTAGTTGCATTTTATTATCGCTTTGGATGATATTGTTTTTGTATCCATAATGTACTAATTATATACTATACTTAATTATTATAAATTGCAGACATGGGTAAATTTAAGAAGTTTCGGCTTATTATTTATTGGAATGGTCGGGTGACAAACTCGAACATTGGGATCGACTATGAAGATGGCGAATCCAGTATGCTTACAATTGAGTCGAGATTCTCGTGGCAAGAACTCCATGACAGGTGTGCAGAAAGGACTTGTACGGGCGGGCAAATGAGAGTTCGTCAAATTACTTACCGGTATCCCAACATGAGTGCTGACGGAGTCATGTACGAAAAAGTTGACATAAATGATGATGACGACGCGAACATGATGACACAGTTCATATCTGAGAACGGGGTGCGGCTTGCAGAGGTGTATGTCGAGACCGAGCCGGTCGGTGAAACTCATTCTCACCAGTATTCTTATGATGATGGTTTTGCAGGAGGGTATGGCTGGGGTGGTAGTTCAAGTAACTACGGAGCAGGTTCTTCTGCCGGAGGGTATGGTTGGGGAGGTACTTCAAGCAACTACGGAGGAGGTAGTTCTGAAGGAGGTGTTGGGTGGGAAGAATACCTGCCACATGGTGGTGAGACTGCCGTCGATATCGTTCAGCCCGACGGTGATCAATGGCCTGCTTGGGGTCCAGAGTGGGGTGACATTGAAAACACCCTTCGAACTGGGCGTACTTCGCATGACCAAGAAGGCGATGCTGGTTATGCTGCTAACGATGACCATCCTTCGCCGAGCTATCCATTCGCCTCCAGTGACGATGAAAGTGAGGAAGATTTGAGATCAGTTAGTGAGGAGGAAGATACGGACGATAACGACGATATCGATGACAGTGAGGTGGCGTTCCGACAGGCACCAACGCCTTACTACACAGAGGTTCCTGATCAATTTTTATATGGTCAGAACGATGCCCCTGACTTTCGGCCCATGCCTGTGTATAATCCGACTGCTAATTTGGAAGTGGGTATGGCGTTCACTTCGAAAGCCGATGTGCAAGACGCTTTTAGCGAAGAAGCCATGCGGCGTAATTTCGAATGGAAGGTAAAATATTCTGACAAGGGACAACTGCATGTCATTTGTAAGAATGCTGGAGTTCCGATACCACTGCGCCCCAAACAGCACCTTGCTTTGACACCCATCTTAGCGTGAAGTTCCGATACCACCGCATGTAGCCATCGTGGTACCCCATTGGCCTTGTCTCCGGCGCCCCTTGGACCACCCACTGATTTCTATTCTCCCATATGTTGATGTAGAATTCATGCTTGCGGGTCCAATCCTTTTTGTTGTAGCGTAGGTCAATGGCGTGGAGCTCCCTGAACCCTTGAGGTGGGGATGCTGGAATTGGTTGCTCCAATCGATATTGCCTCAAAGATCGATCGGGCAGGTGCCACTCCACCATGTGCCAGCAGATTAAGGGCACCTTGCACAACCATGTCTCTTGATCCTCGGGATGTCTAAGACGATGCAACTCAACCACTTCATTTGGATATGGATCCCATACCGCCTACAATCATTAAAATTCATGGAATTAGTAAAAATTATATCCACTCCACCTAATAAATTGAAAATCATGACATTCAATATTTTTACCTAGTTCCACCAAGGCTTATCAAATTCAGCACGATAAAACAGTAAAGAGTGCTCGGGCTGGTGGTCGTTTGTATTTGCTCCGATCCACCTAATTAAGCAAAAGTACATATATAAGCAATTTTTAAATTATCTAAATTCACTAAAATACTAGAATTGCAGACCTAAAATGTCTCTAAATCCGCTTAGTTGGAAGATAGCTAAGTTCACTAAAATACTATAATTGCATACTTAAAATTGCATACTAAGTTCACTAAGTTCACTAAAATCTAAATTCACCTAACTAGCTACCATTGCATATCTAAAATAAATTCAACTTAAATTGAACTTACTTGAAACCATATGGGGGATTTGCTACAAATCGTAGCTCATCATCAGGCAACTAGAATTCCCGAGGGTCTCGAGGTGCGAGAAACGGAAGATGCTCCCATGCCCAGAGCTGGAGTATGAACATCGCACCACCAGCTTGTTTCGCTCCCAACTTCGAGCAAGTACACAACTCGCGGTAGATCCCAGCCAAGACGGCCGACCCCCAGCTTTTCTGCCCGATCTCGTCCCAGTCACCGAGGAGCATATTTAACCACATGCCTTGTATCCACCGGTTTGACTTGTCGGGGAACAGAAACCCACCAACCAAGGCAATTAGGTAGACACGTGCATACCGCTCCACCTGATCTTCAGGAGTATCCAGGCCTATATTAACCTCCATCTGGATGTGGTCAACAAGCCACGGGATCGATACTTGCCCCGCATTCAGTGGTGGATGCCCCTGACCTTCGACGGGCGTGGTGGTCGGCATGTTGAACCCCAGACGTTCCTGTATCAATGGCCCCCAACCATCTTCTGGTTTTCTCGAGTTGTCGATGATGGCATCTCCGGTGATCGGGAGCCCGGTGAGGATGGCAACATCTTTGAGGGTGATCGTCATTTCACCCTCGGGAAAGTGGAAGGTATGCAGCTCAGGGCGCCATCGCTCTGCCATTGCCGTCAGCAGATCGTTGTCAATATCAAGCCTCATAAAGTGCCTCAAATTGTGCAATCCCGCCCTCTCTAGATAGGGATGCAGTCGAGGATGCCAACGGGGCGATCGACATGTCCCTCGATGACTGATGGGAATAAGTGATTCCTACAAAACAAAAAACACAATATTGTCAGTCAATAGAAAGCAAAAAAAAACTTAGAAAGCAAAATAAAAACTTTAAAACTATTGAAATAATTTTAGTGTGTCTACCGGATTATTGTTCCAAATTGAACGAGAGCGATGTTGATCTTGCCCGGTTAAATACCTTCGATCCCTTGGGCCAGGATCGATATACAATCTAGGGTCGTATATCTCAGCACCCATCTATAAAAAAATATGAAATCAAATCAATTTAAATTTTAGCACCCATGTAGAAAAAAATCACAAAAGAACCAACCAAATTTACGTACTCTCAAAGCCTCTTCGTCCATTTTTTGCCGAAAAGCTAGCGAGAGTATCGACAAAACAACAAAACAAACACTCTAGTAATTCTTTCTGATGCGGAAGATCGGACTTAGCCGCAACCACAGAGCATACTTAGAACGAAACTAGAGTGAAAAATGGAGGGAGAAAGAAGTATAAAGTGGTGGTGTGGTTTGGAATGAGGGGGGGATGGATATTTATAGTGTTTGGGGCTGGGAAAAGACCTGGCCAGTTATCACCGCCCCAAACAAACACAGAGCCATCACCGCGTCCAACAAAGGCGGTGATGGTCACGGATCGCTGACGTGGCGGCTCCTGATGCGTCGGATTGTGGAGAAAAACCACAATCCGCGCATAACTGCATCGGACGGCAGCGGTGAAGGCGCGGGGTGGGGCGCGGATCGCTGACGTGGAAAGCGGGGCTATCACCGCTTTGGTCTTCAGCGGTGAAGTGCCCGCGCGCGTCCACGTCAGCGATCCGCGCCACTTCACCGCTGTTGGATCCAACGGTGAAGCCTTCACTGTTTCCCTCATCAACGGTCATGCCATCACTGTCCTCCTTGACAGCGGTGATGGCATCACTGCTTTGGTCTAAAGTGATGATAGCATCACTGCTTTTGTCTAAAGCGGTGATGTATCATCGTTTTAGACCAAAACGGTGATCAACATCACTGTCTTAGACAAAGACAGTAATGTTGAAACTGCTGTACTTTGGGAATTACTTTTATAAGTACTGTATTTTGGTAATTTTTTTTAATAATTGGTGTATTCTGGGATTTTTTCCCTCTTGGGGAAACTCTTTCCCCTTGACTGTCGAGCTCTGGCAATGGCGGAAGAGTTCTCGGTAGCCAAGTTATTTTAGTTGTCCCATTTGTTCATCTCTCATTTTACTGAATTCTCTGTAACCATGCGCTCCAAGGATAAAATCGCATATTTTTACGATGGTATGGTGCTTTTCTTCCTTGCTCTTTCTTTCCCATTGCTTTCTGCTACGGATTGGTGATGATTCAAGCTATATACGCGAAATACTGAAGGGATAGGAACTCATTCCGTTAGCTTCGTTGTAAGCGAATCGTTTGAAGAATTTAGTTTCTTCATGGGTAGTTCTGGAAACCCCCCCTAAAACCTCACTTGTTAGCCATGCCACGGGCTAGGTTGGGAAGCACTGGTTTTGCTAGTAGGAGAGTCGTTACGGATTGGGGAGACTGGTTCTGAATTGGTTGATCAAGAGTAGTGCAAATTTTGCAGTTTTTGTTGAGGTATTACTGTATTAGTCTTGTTTTCTTTCTCTGGATGAATTCTGATCTTTTGTTTATCAACGTTGCAGGGGATGTGGGTAGTGTTTACTTTGGACCAAACCATCCAATGAAACCACACAGGCTGTGTATGACCCACCACCTTGTTCTTTCTTATGACCTTCACAAGAAGATGGAGATATATGTTAGTCTTTAGTATGTGCTGTATATGGATTTCCTTTATTTTTTTTACTTCTAACTACAGTAATGAAATTTTTGGATTTCTCTTGTTATGTATTGTCTGGTGCAGCGGCCTCACAAGGCATACCCCAGTGAGCTGGCTCAGTTCCACTCCGAGGATTATGTTGAATTCCTACATCGAATCAGACCTGATACACAGAACTCGTTCAGAACTGAATTAGCTAGATGTATGTCTCGTTCCCCGAATGATTGTACTCGTTTACATGTTTTTCGTGAATATTTTTTGTTACGTCATTGTGCTACATGCTAAAAGTGTGGGAGGGTTATTGATTGTGATTGATATTGGCAACAGAAAATACCTTACTTTGGTTTTAAGTTTTTGAAAGACTGCAATTCATAATAGCTAATCTGATTACTTAAGGTTTCTATTCTCATTTCATATGTCCAGTTATACCATTGAGAGCTTTCTTTGACAATTATACTCACCCTTTAATGATTTTTGCTTTATGCCTTCTTTTTTCCAGTTAATCTTGGAGAAGATTGTCCTGTTTTCGAAAATCTGTTTGAATTTTGTCAAATTTATGCTGGAGGAACAATAGGTAAGTCAAATGCAATGTGACTTTGTAACTGGAAGTTGTGCGATGTTCATTACTGAGCACTGCGTTCTCTACACTTTTAACAGATGCAGCCCGCAGATTGAACAACCAACTATGTGATGTTGCTATCAATTGGGCTGGTGGATTACATCATGCCAAAAAATGTGAGGCGTCTGGATTTTGTTACATCAATGACTTGGTACTGGGGATCTTAGAGCTTCTTAAACATCATGCTCGGGTCCTGTACATAGACATAGATGTTCATCACGGAGATGGTGTAGAGGAGGCCTTTTATTTCACTGACAGGTAAGGCAGCTTCATTTTTTACGGATATTGTAAAATTAATGTTTCCTTTGTTTTCTATAAAGTACTTTTTTTCATATCAAAAGTAAGATGCACCACTTGCTCAGTAGTCTCGTGAGAGTTGATACTTTTTCCTCCTTTTCTTGGTTTTCCAGATGTACTGTTTTGTCAGAATTATATCTCTCTATCCTGATCAATCTATCAGCATTCACTTGCTTGTCCGAAGTCTTGCCTCATTAGCAAAGACATGTATATGTAGCATCTAAACAAAGCTTGGGATAGTAAGGCTTCTAAAGGTTAATGATTCAAGAAATGTACTGTGCGATTGGAATTTGTCTTCCTAGATTCCGTATTCCTTGCTTTATTGATGTCGCAAATCCATTTAACCATTCAGCGATCTCACTATCTCAGTAGCCCAGATAAGCCTGTCACAGCACACGATAGAGATATACTTATTTTGGAACTTTGCTTTCAGCTTAATTACTGAACTTCAACCAAAATCTAGTTATTTGCATCGACTCTGATTTAGTGGGAAACATTGTACTGGCAGGGTGATGACAGTGAGTTTTCACAAGTTTGGTGATTTGTTCTTCCCTGGAACTGGTGATGTTAAGGTGATTACTCTGTCCTTTCTAGTTATTTACCCTCTCTTTTCGCCAAATTTGCTGAAGTATTTCCTCGTAAAGATGCTTTTTATGGAAGTTCTCAACTTTTCAAATGCAAGTTTAAAATATGAAGCGGTTATGCCTATTCTATAAGAAGTTAAAAAGGCACTTTCTCTTCTTGTGTTAATTGTAATCAGCAATACGAATTTAGGCGCATGATTCAACCTACTCTTTCATATTAGGATATGTAAGCAGTTGTGCTAAAAAGAGTTGCCATAGATACTTTGGAATGTAGCTGTATTGAACCCAATATGATTATTGTATTTACTTCTCTTGATCAAGCTTAAAGTGCGACGAATATTAACATTTGCTCTATTGAAGGAAATAGGAGAAAAAGAAGGTAAGTTCTATGCCATAAACGTCCCACTCAAAGATGGAATAGATGACACAAGCTTCACCCGTCTCTTTAAAACTGTAAGCTACTGTTTAAGCTACCCATTCCAAGACTTATTCTTGCTTGCTTCCTCGCTTCGATGATAAATGTGTGTGCCTGGTTGTCACTTTGCTAGATAATATCGAAGGTCATAGAAATCTATCAACCAAGCTCTATAGTTCTTCAATGTGGAGCAGATTCGTTAGCTGGGGACCGTTTGGGCTGTTTCAATCTCTCTATTGATGGTAAATTTCTCTCCTTATGGATTTATCCATCCCTTTGCATAATAGCAAACATGCAAGCATGAATAGTTCTTTCTGGGCTTATTATCCCTGCTTAGTTGAACAATTTATCACTTTTAAGGCTTAGACTGATGCTGAAAGCTACTGGTATGATATCATGATATGCATTGCAGGTCATGCTGAATGTGTTAAATTTGTGAAGAAATTCAACCTTCCCTTACTGGTATGTTATTATAACAATAGGATGGACTCCATGCATTGCAGCTATTTAATATGAAAATAACTTACCTTCTGGACCCATGTCATGTTCATGCAGGTTACTGGAGGTGGAGGATATACAAAGGAGAATGTAGCTCGATGTTGGACAGTTGAAACAGGGGTTCTGTTGGATACAGAACTACCCAATAGTATGAATTTATAATCTTCAGTATGCCTTGACTATAATGGCTCGGATTTGAATACGTGTTCACGATATGTTCTGAAACTCTCCTTGCAGAGATTCCTGAAAATGAGTACTTGGAATATTTTGCCCCTGACTATTCGCTGAAGATTCCAAGTAGACTCATAGTATGTATTTGCTTATCACTTGCTTTAATTGATAAAAAAATTGTGAACTTGCTCTTTTGCTAACTCCGGCTTCGTCACCTTAATCCGCCTTCTTTTACCTTGGCTGATGAGAGCAGGAGAATTTTAATAGCAAGTCTTATCTTAGCACCATCAAAGTGCAAGTAATGGAGAATTTGCGGCACATACAACATGCACCAAGCGTGCAGATGCAAGAGGTGGGCTTCTTTTTTCTATATTCAGCAAAGTTGTATCCAATACAAACGTTTGCTAGTTTGGTCTTGTATGCGATTCAGATCAGCTCTCTAGGATTTTGACCAACTGCTTGCATTAAGGGGAAGGAGCCGTTTTGCACCCTTCTAGCAGAGTGCAAAATTTGAGCTTAATCAGCTCAAGTATGTGTAGTTTTATGTTTCCTATTCGTTTTAGGGTTTTACAAATACCCTAACTAGAATGAGTTGTGCAGGTACCACCCGACTTTTACATCCCCGACTTTGATGAAGATGAACAGAACCCAGATGAAAGAATGGATCGTAAGTTGAATTCCCTGATAGAACGTTCTTCTCACCCGGCTTCTGCGTTTCCATCAGTTTTCTCACAACTGGTTTCCATCTTCCCTCCATTTCAGAGCATACACAAGACAAGCAAATCCAGAGGGATGATGAGTACTACAATGGGGACAATGACAACGATCACCCGGCTGGATCATGAAGTGCATTCGGATGGGATTCAATTGACTGTAGCTGTTAGTTCAGAAGATTACTACTCCCTGCCGTGATCTATAGGGGTTGACTGAACTCATCAAACTTGAACTGTGAATCTCTTGTATTTAGCATACCACATCATAGAGAATTAGAGATTGCTTTTGTAACTACTGGGGTATATCTGTGAAATGGAAGATTAGTGAATGATTTTGATTGATTCTTGCAGTTGCAGAAGAAAGCACTCAAACCCATTTTGTTTGTCCAAAAATTAAAGTTGTTACTCGTGTAATACGCTAACTTGTCACCCGCGAAAATATCTTTCTCTCTCTAAAAGGAAAACCTGCCGCCGTTGGCCTCTTCCTACCCACAAACTCCTCCACGGAACTTACCATTGATAGCTGGAACTGAATGTTTGGTCGCCGGGAATTGGTATCGACCGTCGACATATTTCCGTCATCCGATTCAGCATTTAACACCTTCATCCCGTTCAATCTCTGACGTCTTCCCTCGAAACCTAACGGAGTAACGGAAACTACCCAAAAAAGGTTGGAGCAGGAAACTCGTCTTCGTTTTTTTCTCTTTAGCGATACCTCCACCAAACACCTGGCTCTTTTATCTGTGGATAATATATTTGTATTTGTTTCACTGTTCTTTCTTCCCCCTCCTTCCTCCTATCGCCCTGTATTGGTTGCTCAATTCGTTTGATTTCTCGTTTCCTGTTAATGAAGGGATAGGTTCGATTCAACCCTTCATTCCCTGGAAATTGGTTGATCAATCTATGTTGGAGCAATAGATTTTGTGGGTAATTTGTGGATTTGATCTCCGAATGCGGTTTTATCTACCTGGTTGTTCCTTGAATTCTTTGAAATTAGGATTATGATCTCTCTGTAGGTTTTGTGCAACCGTAAAGTTTGGGACTTTTTCCTGCTAGCTACAAGGAATCCAACAATGGCTACTGCTGAAGCAATTTTCCGAACTGGGTTGCCGCGGCTTCATCATTTCGATCCTTTCTTTAATTGTTCAAGCTCGTTCCTTTCTGTAAAGCCCATCAATGGTCGCTCCAGAAGAAGCAGGAGGAATCATTGCTCCAAAGCTGTATTAAAATGCCCTGCTAAGGTCTACGCATGCCGTGGAAGCATTGATCCCCTTTCCTTTGGGAGGATCAATAAATCCGCTGGAGGACCGGGTTCCAGCAGATGCAAATGCCAACAGCAGTCGGAAACTTTTGGCAGCGATGGTGGAGGAATGTCGATTCCTGTGTTTGGCATCAATGGTGGAGGTCAGGATTTTGCCCTGCTCCAGCAATTGAAACCAGAAAATGGAGACGTTGCAGTAGGGGGGAACGGTGGGATGTTGGATGGAAATGGAACAGCTGCAACTAGTACAGATGTGCAACTTAAGGGCGCCTCTACGAATCCAATTGAGGATGAAGCTTGGGACTTGTTGCGTGCATCTGTTGTGTACTACTGTGGTAACCCTATTGGAACTATTGCTGCTAATGAACCAAACAGCAGCAATGTATCGAATTATGATCAAGTCTTTATTCGAGACTTCATTCCTTCTGGGATTGCTTTCCTTTTGAAAGGAGAGTATGATATCGTGAAGAATTTCATTCTTTACACTCTGCAATTGCAGGTAAAGTACATTTATGTTGTTCTGTTATTTATCCTCCAAAGTTCAATCATGTTTAACATGCTAAGTAAAATTTAGATGCCTGAGCTCGTCAAATCGTGTGATTATGATGTCCAGTATTGCTTAAGCTTATTTGCCCCTGACTGTTGGTAGAGTTGGGAGAAAACAATGGATTGTTATAGTCCTGGTCAAGGGCTAATGCCGGCTAGTTTCAAGGTTCGAACTGTTCCTCTCGAGGGTGATGAAAATGCCAGTGAAGAAGTCTTGGATCCTGATTTTGGTGAAGCTGCAATTGGTCGTGTTGCACCGGTTGACTCTGGTACTTATTCCCCAGATACTTTTTCCTTATTGTGTTGGTTGCTTGCTGTGCAAGTTGGGAAATCTTTATGAGGATATGCTCTTTTTCAGGCTTATGGTGGATTATACTCTTACGAGCTTATGGAAAATGCTCTGGCGATCTCTCGATGCAAGAGAGAGTAGACGTACAAACTGGGATCAAAATGATTCTGAAACTTTGCCTTGCTGATGGCTTTGATATGTTTCCAACCTTATTGGTCACGGATGGTTCTTGTATGATTGATCGACGCATGGGAATTCATGGGCACCCTTTGGAGATTCAGGTGAATGCTCTTTCTATAATCTATTGCGCTTTGATATCATATTATCCTATATATTTCACGTTCCAAGTTGGCTACTACTTAGCTTAATCTACACGAGTGCTCCATGGTTATTTATTCATGCCCATATTATATCAAATGCTTCAACTAGGTCTTCATAGTTCAAACAGTCAACCACCTTTTCAGAGGTATGAGTCCAGGTGTGTTTGATTTGGTGCATTAGTGAATTGCTGTTAGTTGTCTTAACTCTTAACTGCATGCTAACATGTTGGTGTGTTTGCTAAAACATTGTTTGGCTCAGTGCAATTATGCATGAATCCTACTAGAAAACAAAAATGAAGATAAGCATGTGCTGATAAAAGGTTGCTTTGCAGGCCCTCTTTTATTCAGCTCTACTAAGTGCACGTGAGATGCTTGCTCCAGAAGATGGAACAGCTGAACTCATTACGGTCCTCAACAACCGTCTGGTAGCCTTGTCTTTCCACATCAGAGAATACTACTGGGTTGACATGAGAAAACTGAACGAAATTTACCGTTACAAAACTGAGGAATACTCTTACGATGCAGTCAATAAGTTCAACATCTACCCGGACCAGATTCCACCCTGGTTGGTTGAATTCATGCCCAGCAAAGGAGGCTACTTGATTGGAAACCTGCAGCCTGCTCACATGGATTTCCGTTTCTTCTCTCTGGGGAACTTGTGGTCCATAGTGAGCAGTCTTGCAAACATGGAACAGTCCCATGCTATATTGGATCTTTTTGAATCAAAATGGGAAGATTTAGTGGCT